CAGACTTATCGCTGCGATCGTCCAGGGGATAAGTTACGGGGTGGTGCTCTACTGCTCGTGGCAGACCACTTTCCTCAGACGGCCGTGGATACCCTGTGCACGGAGAACATTCAGGCTGCAGGGTGAGTAATCAAGCTCGCAGGAGTAAGGTTAGCAGTCCTGTGTGTTTATCGTACCCAAAGCGCAGGCGTCGACGATAATGAGTTGTTGATAGATTTTCTCCGGCACACAACAACTCGGGCAAGTAGGGTTCTTGTCCTGGGGGATTTCAATGTCCCTGAGATCGAATGGGAGATAGAGTATGCGCTAGTGGGAAGCTTTGGAGATGAGCCACTAGAGGTGATGCATGAACTGGCGCTCACTTAGCACGTCACCATTCCCACCCGATTGTGACTGGGTAACTCTCCCAGCACCTTAGATCTTGTGTTTACCAAAAGCAGGAATAACATCAGGATCACTGCCATAGGTGCACCGCTAGGCAGAAGTGACCACGCTAGTATCCAGTGCCAATACGGCTGTGCTCTTCCGCTTTCTCAAGTCAACTTGAGGCGACGCTATAGGCGCATGAATACCGAATGTCTCCAGGCTGTGGCTCAGACCATGTTCTGGTCAGAGGCAAACTATGGGGTTGTAGAATGGTGGGATTTGATCAGGAGTAACCAGCTGACTCTCACCAATAGTTTCGCTCCCTTGCATGGCGTTAGGTCGAGGACCACCCCGCCCTGGTGATCCAGTCGAATGAAAAAAGCTCTAATTAGAAAGTGGGCCGCGTGGCAAAGACTCTGTGCCATAGGTGGCTATCTTAGGCACCTTCAGTAATTACGAGAACGAAAGTCTTTCGACCGCATTCTCCTGGATGCCAAAAGAGCTTTCGAGCTTCCTCTGGCCAAGAATGCAAAGCGCTACCCTAAGACCTACCACGGGTATGTCCAGTCTAAGTCGACTACAAGGGAAGCAGTTGGCTGTATCAGGCAAAAGGACAACACCCCCACCACAACAAACTCCCAGAAGGCCATCGCCTTGTGTGAGCACTTCCAGAGCGTACACACGAAGGATGAGGGCATCCTGCAACCCATGCATCAGCCAGCAGGATCCACGCTGATGGAGAAAATTGTTTTCCTACCGGAGGAGGTGAAAACGATCCTGGTGAGTTTAGATAGGGAAAAGCGACGGGACCGGACGAGATCCATCAGGCAGTGTTGAGGCCTCTAAAGAGTATCCTGGTAGTCCCATTAGCTGTCTTGAGTCTTGAAGTCTTGAAGTGACTTTTCAAATGCCTCTTCAATCTGTCCATGGCAACAGCCTTATTGCCACAGGACTGGAAAGTAGCTAATGTGGCCCCCATCCACAAAGGGGATGACAGGGAGCTGGCCACTAATTATAGGTCTGTTAGCTTACTATCCGTGATCCTAAAGGTCATGGAAAGGTTAATCAGAGATAAGATGGTCAGCTAACTCATCCAATGCGGCCTGCTGGAGGAGGCTCAGCACGGGTTTCGTAAAGGCCGTTCGTGCCGCACATATCTGCTGACCTTCCTTGATGCCGTGACTAAGCGGCTGGACAGAGGGGAGCGAGTCGAAGTCTGCTACCTAGACTTCAGTAGGGCTTTTGACTCCGTCA